CCAACTACTAAAACCAAAGATGTAGAAATTTAGAATTTCTGTGAACTTTTCCACCTGAATTCATCAAGTATACAATCTAGATTCATCAGTAATAATTGGCAGCTTGCGGACTGAACTGTTGGGATCTTGCCACTTCCCTGGGCCTTCATCTGCTCAGGCAAGATCAACTCCCTCCTAAGCAACCATGGGAGAAGAGATAAGCACAGGTAGGTCATTAGCACCAACTGAAACTTGGGGGCTGCACTGTTGAGACCTTGCTACTTCCCTGGGACTTTGTTTGCTCAGGCAAAGAGGGATCAGCTCCCTCTCAATCAGCCTCAGAAGAAGAGATAGTTAAGTGCATTGGCCATTCGTACTGATTGAGACTTGATGGCTGCACTATTAGGACATACCCATTTTCCTGGGCAAGGAAACAAAACCTACCAAATGTTGAAATGACAACCTCTTCAACAAATGGTGCTAGCAAAGCTGAGCATTTATCTGCAGAAACTAATACAGAACTCATATCTCTCATACCATACACAAAAATCAACTCAAAAGAAATCAGTGATAAGGGGTTTAAATTCAAAACTGTAAGGATCATAAGAGACAAAAGTGTCACCAAACGTGGAAGCCCAGCCTATGGCATAAATAGGCTTGCAAATATAGCCAGAAATGCACAAGCAGGTGAGGATGAAATCAGTGAATGTGCCTTCTAAAAATCAAGACCCTGTGTACATCAAAGACTTTCTTCAGCAGGGTAGAAAGAAAGACTAGTTACTAAGAAAAAAAATTGATAATGGCATATAAAATAAATGTCCTCTAACTAAAATTTACCAGAATACTATAAGAAACGTGACAACCCAACAACAACATGGGCAAAATACATCAAAAGAGTCTTCACAAAGGAAGTTGTGCAGAGGAATGACAGACACATGAAGAGATGCTTAAAATCACTGACAATCAGTAAGGTGCACATCAAAAACAACAGAAAGATAGCGTCTCACCCCAGTAGCACTGGCAAAGTTTCACAGGGGAGCAAGCAATAAATAATGGCAAGGATGTGAACAGATTGGAACTCTCATACACTTTGATGAGGTTGTAAAATGAAACAACCGCTCTAGAAGGCAATTTGGTGTTTCCTCAGAAAGCAGAACATAGAAATCCTGTATGATTCAGCTATTTCTATGCTGGGAATACACCTCCAGGAAATCATAAATGAGACATGAATGGAGACATATACACCTACATTAATAGAAATGTTATTCACAACATCAAGTAAAAGGAAACAGCCCAAATGCCAATCCACAGATGAATGGATTGAGAAATTATGGCACATTCGTACAATGCAGGACAAAGGAACAATGATATTGTGGAATATTATATAACATGAGAGAGTCTAAAGAGCATTATGCTGAGTGAAATAATTTGGTCACATAGGAGTAAATCAATAGGGATTGAGGCTCAATATTAAGAAGACAAAGATTCTCACCACTGGACCAATTGCAGCATCAGGATGGATGGTGAAGAGATTGAGATTGTTAATAACTTTAGTTTCCTTGGCTCCACAGTCAACACTCCTGGCACCAGCAGCCAGGAAGTTAAAAGACGTATTGCAATTGGAAAGTCTGCTGTTAGGGACCTCTACACAATACTGAAGAGTAGTGGTGTCACTCTGGAGACTAAGGTGTGCCTGATCCAGGCCATGGGCCTTGCAATCACTTGCTATGCATCAGAGAGTTGGACAAAGACTAAGGAGGATAGATGGAGAATTGATGCCTTTGAGCTGTGGTATTGAATAAGAGTTTTGAATATACCATGGACTGCTATAAAACCGAACAGATTCATCCTGGATAGGGTTAAACCAGGCTGCTCCTTGGAGGCAAGGATTCTGAAGCTTTGTCTGACATACTTTGGACATGTTGCAAGGA